AATGGATTACTCTTCAGTGTTTGGACTCTCAGTAGCGACTAATAATTAAATCACACTACACTGAGCTAAACTGAACTGAACCTAAACTCTAAAAACTGGACTAACACAGTTTCAATTTACTATAATCTTTTATGTGAAGCTGCTTTGACACAATCTACATTGTAAAAGTGCCAAACAAATAAAGGTGAATTGAACTGAATTGAATGGTAGATAATTATGGCAATGTCATAAAAGCAGATCGGGGAGACATTTTAATACTCCACGATCAAAAATAGTCAAATTGCAAACACCTAAATGCATGTCATCACGCTTGCCACAAACCACATTTTAGTACTTCACACTGAGAATATCGATGTGTGTCGTTTTCATAAGCTTGCCCTTTTGAAACAAAGTTTTCCCTTTTTATAAAAGCACCCTCTGCCAATTTTTTCATAACAATAGAATAGTAAAAACTATATTAACTGGGCAATAAATTAAACGCTTCATATAAACATTTAATCAGTTGCACACCTGTGAGCTAGCATAACCGAGAAATTCAGCCAAAAACAATGTGAAAGAAACATGTGGTTAAAACCACAGAGATAATTGAGGCCCTTCTCTGTATTGTGCAATGGGAAGCCAACCTTTTAATACAACTGCAACAATCTCTCAGGGGGTTCTTTAGAAAGAAAGGTGACACATGAAGAAACAAGCTGAAGTGAAGGGGGCAGAAGTAAAAATGATTTAGGAGGATTGTGCCTCTGGCTTCACCTTACTACAGATAAAGGGAGATGGGGGAGAGAGAGAAGGCGGGAAAGAGGGGGAGGCAGCTTTATTGTAATGGCCGGTTTCATTTCCTGAGTACTGGCTCAAATAGTGTAGGATTAGGAGCTTTCAATTGACCATATACAGTACAGATGCTTCCTCTCAGACACAACCTTGGGGGGAAAAACATCAAGACCTCTTAAAAAAAGTCTAACATTAAGAGCATTCAGGATGTAGTCAACAAAATGACAAGCATTTGCAAATCAAATTAAGTTGCATCAACCGCACCACGTTCAACGAACATCTCTCGAAATACATGCAGTACTTCATTCTCAGTGGTGCTTTTGAAATGCATGATGGGAACAGAAGTATGTGCAGCAGTAATTCATATGGTAACTCGGTGTCTTTTTTAACTGAAGGGTATTTAAAGGAGTCGGGTGAGTTAACGGTTTCTCGGTGGGGAGTATACAGTTGAATTTAATTACAAATGGAGAAGAGTCCGTGGGAGATGTCGCAATTGTACAAGCATTAGTTAAAGAAAACCTGCCAGACAATATAGTCCACAGGGGTCCAGAGGAGGTCTTGGAGAAGCCGAATAACAAGAGTGAAACAACCTGACTTTTTTGTCCTGAAATGCAGGGTGGATGCAAGCAAGTGCGCTGGAGGTTACAGAGAGCCATAGGGGACTTCATGCATCTGAATAGATGCATTTCTGCAAGTCAAGAGCGCCACTGCTAAGCACACACACGCCTACCCTGTTGTAAAACAATGCGTCTTCTCTCTTTTTCCTCATAAGAAGACAACTGCTCTCTTGTTTTGCCTGATGACAGATAAACTAGTTCTTATGAAGGCCACTGCAAAGAGAAAACTACAAGCTAAAAGATAAGAGCACGGTAGAACTTTCACTGAGGGAAGTATATTAATAAAATGTCTGAATGAATGCCATGCACCAGACTGTAATCTAAGCAAACAGTCTTTTGTTGCACTGTATTTGCTTTCTTTTATAATAGGTCTGTAAAATGGGTTTAGAGGGTGCAATAGGGCAGACGGGTAACTAAGTGGGTGATTCACTACTGAATAAAAGAGGTCTTGTATTTAAAACATGAATAAAATTATCTTCATAGGCCCTTACAACTTTGGATTGTATCAAGTAGAAGAGGGAGACATTCTTATTTACACCTGGTGCATTAATCCGTCTCTTTTGTCCACTTTCGACCACCTTCTGGATTTCTTTGAGAAGAGATGCTATTAGGTGGGTGTATGAATGGGCTTTTTCTCATCATTCAGCCTAACACTGTGAAAATACATTCATGCAAAGTTACAAATGAACACACATCCATACGAGAAAAGCAGCTTTTATTTCTGTTCTGTCGTTTATTTTGTTTCCTTTATATTCACTGGTAAAAGTACATTGAACTTCTTACATTTGTGTTCAGCTTGAAACTAAACATGCAATTTCAGGCGTTAAAGGGTTAGTTAACCCTAAAATGTAAATTGTCGTCATTTATTCATCATTCACTTGCTCAAAACCGATTTAAGTTTCTTCTGTTGAACACAAAAAAAAGATATTTTGAAGAATGCTGGCTGCTGGCATTTATGTTAAATAGACTGTAAAACACAAAAAGTTAAGGTAACTCAAACCATTTGAGGAAACTGATTCCAACAAATCAATACTGTGAACTTACTCTGTTTAGGTTGTAATAATGAGGTATTTAATGAACTCATTAACCCTTCAACGCTGAGTTCAAAACTGTTTTCAAATGAGTAAATTTAACTTTCATTAACTTTTGAGTTAAATACACTTATTTTAATTGATAAAGTTGGGTTTTACAGTGTAGTGTTTACCCCCTACTCTTGGGGTCAATGGGTGCTAGCAAACAGCATTCAAAAACTTTTTTGTGGTCATCAGAAGAAAAAAACCACATGAAGGACAATAAGTGATGAGGTAATTTCATATTTGCATGAACTATCGCTTTAAATCCCAAATGGTTAGCATTAAATCAACAACAGCTTATCCAACATGTTTCATCAGTATGGTGGAAAGTTTGAGTTTTTCATGTTTACACTGAAAGCAAATTGGTCAAATGTATTTTTGATGACCTCTCGGAGTAGTGAAGTATAGACAAGGTCAAAATCCTTTTCATACTTTATTTAGCAATGTCTATGTTTAAATTGGTTCTTAATAATCGATGTAAACAGTGCCTATATAAACAAAATAGGGTATATGCATAGCTAGTGTTTTTTACCATACTGATAAACTTTGTGTGAACTGGTATTGTAGCTATATTCAGTTTTATACGGTTACTTTTAAAAGCAATAATGTTGTGATGTAAATAAATATAATCAGTTATATAATCAAACTTCAGCATTCATTTACGTTTAAGCATAAAACGAGTTGAAAAGTCGTTTACACGTACACGCCCGCCAGGATTAGCTCTATTGAATATACTGGGGTAAAATAACTGTTCATATTTTAAAGACTTGGCGCCAAAAAATGTAGTATAATGCAGTGCTTCTTAAACATTTTGAGACCCACTTTCTATCGTATATTAATTAGGCAGTGAAGATTGTTGATTTTTAAAGAAAACAGACTGCAAAACCCACTGATTTTGTAACGGCATACAATTAACCAGAAGTGCTTGACCCAGGTTACTTAAAAATCGAAAGTCCTTCCGCATACTTCCGCATTTACCCAGGGGTGGATTTAACCAATAAGCGAGGCGAGCGGCCGCTTAGGGTCCCAGGAAATCTGAGGGCCCCTAATAAATATCTAGAAGTATAATTTTTACCTATAAACTATATGACATCGTTTTCTACCATATTTTATGGTGAGAGTTAAACAAATACAATTTTAATATATATATTTTAGTATACAATCAAATATAATAATATTATAATAATGTATTGTTGGACAATAATAATAAGGCAACCCAGAGTCACATTTACAGCTAAATGTATCCTTAATGCAGTGTTTATCACAGAAAAACAGACTTTCTAAAAAAAATATATAATTTGTACAAAAAACTGATAGAAACCCACCAGCTAAACTAGTAAAACCGGGTGTGACATTGCAGATGGTGTGTTTTGAGGGGGGTTGTGGGGGAGGTGCGGGTGGAGAGAGAGAGAGAGAGAGAGAGAGAGAGAGAGAGAGAGAGAGAGAGAACAAAAAAAAACAGATGCTACAACTACTAGTTGTAAACTCAGTTTGGCTCTTAAACCAATTTAGTAGACAAACAGTCACAGGCGTAAATGAAATAACAATACTCACAAAGAATGAGTCAACACATCACAGGATTGAACCAAAATCTAACTCACATTCAGGTTGAAACTATTTACACTCAACAACAATAATATAATGATTAAGCTGCATTTCAAATAGAGTTTTACTCTTTTTTTCCTAAAGTTAAACTTTAAACTTATCCACTACTGCTTTAGTAGAAATAAATCTTCCCCCCTCACACCAAAGAACAAGACCGTCACAACTCAACACGTTTTAAGTTTGTCTTTCAACCTAACAATCTTTCAGCACATGACACACTATCATTATGCTTTTGGTCTAACAGCCCAAAAGGCGAATGAGTCTCTTTAAAGTAGTACTGACAGACTGGCTGGTGCCTGAGAAAAACAGATGTTTAAGAGAGCCGGGCTTTGTGTCCTTTATTTGATTACCTGAATATAATACTACCACCAATGCACTTTCGACAACAAACGTTACGAGAAACAGCGCCCTACAGATCAATCACTCTAGAAAAGCCCTCGCAGACAGATACGAAACAGACACACAAGACAAAAGGCAAAAAAAAAGGCTCGAATAGATTTACGTAAAACTACTAATGTAACCAGATATTTAGGTTGTAGGCTTGACTACATCATCATATCCTGCGTTTTTTTTCCACAAGTGAAACAGGTGCAAGGAAAAGGTAGGCGGGACAAAAACCGCATGAAAAATATTTTTTTACTTTTACACGTGGATGAATATGGTTAACGGATATATTCTTGCGGATTAATCAACAACAAAAAACATGATAACACTTCTCAGACAGTGATATTGCGACGTGCAGGTTTTCCTTTCAGAAAGAGTCCTAACGTTAAGCTTTAAAATGTAATAACATGGTTATGCATTTTAGATATTCTTGAAAAGCAAGTAAGTGTTTGTTTTACTGGTCCATATGGAAGCCGATCTAAAAAGGACACATGCAAATGTTCTCTAATTCAAAGAGAAAAAGAGGGAGAGGGAAAAAACATTCAAGTGTTACCTTGATTCATGAGGGACACGGTGAGCAGACACGTTAAAAAGGCGGTCCGCTGCATCTTTCTGCAGTCTGCGATAGTTCTGCACTCCTGAGAAATAATATCCTTGCCTAACGAGCGTCGTTGTTGGATAATGTTCTGGAAAGTACAACACTCGTTGCGTACGTCAGTAAATTCAAACTTTGAGGTTAGATCCCCACGTGTCGCATCTGTTGAAGCGGTGATGGGCGGTTATAAATCGACAAGGAGGCTCCTCCCCTTTGCCCTGAACCTAAACTGATTTAACCAACCTACTAGAAAACACTTGACGAGACTTCTCTTATCTTGTCCTGTGATGTTCTGCGGTTTTATTTAAGTATCATTTTCGTAATATTATGTTTCACTTCAAACAAAGCTGACTCAACAAGGGTTTCATGAAATTCCCTATTTGATTTTACTCCCTACTTGCTTTTATTTATGGGTAACTAATCTTCTCACAATGTTTTGGAATGATTCTGGGACACAAAATTAGTTATACTTGTGTTATGTAATAAAAAAAAAATTCCATTCAGCTACTACAACATTATTACCACAGCATTAGTTTTAGACTGATTGCATAAATTTGAATATTGACTTGAAGCTTGTGAACCTTAATAAGAATGTAACACGGTAACCTGGATAACCTGGATCCCATTGATCGCTATTAATTCATTCTTTCATATATACACTCAACAGCAATAAACTGTAAGCGCCCACACTACAAATAAGAAGAAAAGCAATTGTAAATACATAATTTTTGATTCAAATGTTTTATTTTCTTCAACAATTTAACAGTATCATCAGCTTACATATTTTTACATCCTTTTAACACTCCCTTTCCCCTCCCCTACTCGACAGTGGCAGTTACAGTAATTGGATGTTGCTGTCATAAATCCAGTAAATACAAATAAATAATATAATCTCAATAAATAAAAAGCACACACACAGAAAATATTAATAGTAAAAATTATATTTAAAACACAATAATAATAGATAAATAAATAAAATATTTGCACTTTATCGTCCGTCTCACCACAGTGACCCTATTCATCCTCTAAAAATGCCAAATAATTTCCCCAGCTTCTCTGATAAATATTCACTTTATCACAGGCTCGTAGTCAGCCTGGTGAAAGAGGAGGTTTTTGCCATTATACGCCTCATTTTCTATTTAATTATGACCGTTAAATACTGCATTTTAGTGACATTTTAAGCACTATCCTGAATTAGCTTGTCGGATGGTCATCATAACCACACTTTTTGACTTTTATATGTTCAAATCCAATTTAATATATTGGATTAATATATAATTAAACCTTTTTATTGTTTATTTTTTGTTTCAAGAATAAAGTCCAAGATTTAGAATTAAAGTTACTTGTAAAATGTCTTTTTAACAATAGAAAAGTGAAAGATGACTTCTATTACATCAGATTGTATGTTTTCTTGCACAGATGGGTGTTGGATCCATGGAAAATATTTGCTAGCATTGGCCAAAACTAATTAGCTGAAGTCACACCGAAGCGACAGCTAACAGATGATTCTTCTGGTCCTAAAGCCGTTTTTATGGATTATTTTTGACTATGATGGCATAGCAGTCAAAATAGGAGGAATGAGCTCATGTATGGAATAAATTCTGGACCTTTTCAGTGAGGGGTGGGTCTTCCCAATTACCTGAACCCCCTCTGACTACAAGCAGGTATCAAGTAATCTATATGTAATCTATAAGTAAGTAATCTGTAATCCCCAATTCCGTAACCCATTCTTGAAATGGACCTGCTAAATGCCATCCCCTCATTAAGATTTGTCCTCCAATCATAATACTTATTTAAATCCACTCAGACATCTTCACACCAGACCCCAACATGCACCGGTCTCTCAGTACATATTCCAAGACAAAACAAAAAGCAGCATCCAAAAACATCCTGAATGTAATGCACTTTAACCAAGAATTCCTTTATTTTTGAACATGACCACATGCAGGGCATGGATCAAATTTCCTTCTTCGTTCTCACATCTCCAACATTTAGCAGACCTTTAACCCAAGCCTGAAAAGCCTACTCAGAGCCCAATAAAACGATTAAAGTTTTAAATTGTATTACTCCTAAATTTCTTGACATTACTTTACAGTTTTGGCAAATTTTCTTCCTAAGTTCATGGCTAAATGTACAATTTAGATCTTTACACCAAACAGTTTTAAGCGCAGAATGGAAACTGCAGCCCATCATTTTCATTAACCATTTATAATACAATTATATTTATAATAATATTATAAAAAATTTATAATAAAGGGCCGTTAAATGGTGAATAACAAAACATATTAGGGTGAACTAACTTTTTAAGAATTCAATCTCTTATGTCATAACATCATGGCCATTATATAAGCAACATAAAAAACAAAATAATGTAAACAATTTACATCAATTGATGAAACAAAATATTACAAAATGTTGATGAATTGGCAACAAATTATTTAATTCCTGACCATAATGTGTTTTGAGCTTCATCAGTATTATTGGAACACCATTTCCAATCATTTTTAAACAGTATGTGCCTTGACATGTATTTTAATCCCCAGTGTGCCTAAGGCTGCAATAATATACAACCACTAGCTATGGCCATCAAGTTATATGCAAAACATAAAATCAGGTTAAACCGGTAGCAAAGCAAAACAAGAATCTTTTTCACAGCCTGATACAATCTACTGAACCTGGTACCATTTGCATCATTCTTTTTTTCTCCCTCCATTATCTAACCCTCCTCCCTGTTAGCCACCAAACCACCTTTTTTTCTCCTCTTTTGCATTTTATTGCCCCAATATTAGCTGAAATCCCCCATCTCGCACACATCTCAAAGGCAGGTGGGCGAACGGGGTGGGGTGTTCCCTCATCTCATTCGGTTTGCATTGTACTTCCTCACACCTCCTAATGGCCTGCCTGATAGATACGAGGATGAATGAACGAAGAACAAAGGCAAACCACGACGATTCTCTCTCAAAGGACAACTCAGAGAGAGTTCATAAACAGGGCACAGTACACTCGTATAAAAGATTTTGGTTGCTTGTTCAAACTACTTATTTAAGATGAGCTGAAACAACACAATTCTTGAGATTGTTTGGGGACAACTTAATTATTTTATGTTCAACCCAACCAAATATGTTACTTAAAGGGCACCTATTGTACCCCTTTTTCAAGATTTGAGATAAGTCTTTGTGTCTCCAGAATGTGTCTGTAAAGTTTCAGCTCAAAACACCATCAGATTATTTATTATACCTTTCAGAAGTTTGTAATTTTCGGCTCATGTAGCTGTTGCCTGCGCCTTTAATGCTTGTTCTCCCCGCCCACCGTTCCCACGTGCCTGTCAGAGTGTGCTTCAGCTGCGTCCCAAACCACATACTTATGCACTATTCTTTGCCATTTTGTAGTATAAATAGTGTAAGTAGTGCGTTCACACTAAAAACTCTAAAAATAATAAGTACACTTTAATTACCCGGATGATGCACTCATTCAGCCGTTAAAATGAAGTGTGGAATGATGGACACTTCACGCACTCAACGACTGCAGGTTTGCCTACTAGCGGAAGGGGCGGAGCTATTGCGCACACATGTTGGATAACTTTATTTATTTTGGATAGTGAAAGCAAAATTCTCCTACGAGTGTGATTATAGCGCCTCCCGATGGTGAATGCGGTAATACTCATGGCAGGTATTATTTGATAATTCGGTCGTTTATTTCACTGATTTGGCAACTGTCAAACGTCATCAGGGAAACGGTTTGAATTTCCGCTTAGTTAAAAAACATTAGTGTGCCATTTGGGACGACACTACATACATATACTATCCTGTTGAGTGTGTAAGTGCATAAGTACATAGTGCATGAGTGCATAGTAAAGTGTGCCATTTGGGACGCAGCTTCTGTCTGCGACAGATAAACAGCACAGATCTTACGTAATAATAATACTACAGTAAGAACTTTCCTAATTATTATGATGCATTTGTTGTAGAGTTGTTAGAGTCACACACAGTGTCGTTACAAGGTTCACGCATGCACACACAGATACACACACACATCACACGTTTAACTTTGCACTGTTTTTGCATGGCAAATGTAACAAGTCACACGTTTATCCCAGATATATTTAGCCAACAATACATTTAATGAGTCAAATGCATTAAGAAATAATAATTATCTATGAAGATATTTTGTAAATTTTCTGTATCGTAAATATATATACACTGTAAAAGATGCAAGATGCTGGGTTCCACATGATCGATTTGTGAAAACATAAGGGAATTAAGTTAACTTATTAGTTTTTACAAATTTAAGTGGATTGAACATAAAACAATTAGGTTATCCTAAAAAAAAAAAAAACCTTAAAAATTGTGTTATTTCAGCTTATTGTAAATAAGTAAGTGTAATTATTGATTACTATGCATTGCTAAGACGTTAATTTAGACCACTTTAAGCACAATTTTCTGAATACTCAGATTGTTCAAAGAGCTATCTTGGCCAAATATTGACCAATCCCTGCAAAATAAAAAGGTTTTATGACAAAAATTTACACTTTATTACTGGTTTTGAGGTCAAGTGACACATGTAGTAGGGACATTCGACCAGAAAAGTACATTTTCTGTCCCTGAAATAAAAATATAAATACAGTAAATAAAAAGTATTTCATCCCAAAAATGGTTGATTTCTGTGAGTTTTTCTGTAAAGCAATATGTCATTCACTTGGTTCTCAGATTTTTGTTCTTTATTTAAAACGACTTTACAAATTTACAAATCCTGTCATTGTCTTTGTTCTCAGCCCAACCGAACACACAGTTTTAATAGTTTTGTTGTTAAAAACTGTTATTTAAAAGAAAAAAAAGTCTTAAATAGCAAGTATTAGTTGTTATCATTAAAAACATTTGATTAAAACATTAAATTATAAATTCTACAAATAAATATTATTTAAAAATTGTCTTCATTTTTCTGTCTGTCCTGTCACATTTGCATTACATTTAAACATCATTTGAGGAAGAAGCTGAAAGTGATCAAGGATGTGTTTTATCATTGAATTGTATGATTTAATGCTTGTTTTGTATCATTACTCTGAGGAGGACAAGCTTAAAGGTCAGGCTCTGTCGCATTTCTTAAATGAGAAAATGCACGTTTCTGGTAGAATGTTCCTTCTGCTTGCTGATTACGTCACTATGTTTTGGATGATG